CACTGGGGGGCGTCTTGTTATGATGTTATACAAACCACCAATCAGTTCGTCTGCCTTTCGTTTAATAAAACAAACAAAAAAAAGGTCAAATATTTTTCAAAAGATGTGAATTACCTACAGAAGTGTAACGTTTTTTTTTTCGTTTGAATTTCGATATTTCAGTTTACTTTCATTCTCTAATCATTTAAAAAAAAATTGATAAGCCAATGTTTACTTTCAAAGATTCCAACCCTTAAGGATAAGTAACTTTCTATACACGAATACAATTTATCAATACGGGACATATTTTAGAAGTTTAACATTTACAGAACTTACAGAAAAAACAAGAACATCGATTTAAGAGAACATTATCTAATCTTTTATATTAGTAAAATAATAAAAATAGTAATTTCGACATAATTCGGATAATGGTAAAGTTGTGAATATTCAAAAACTAACGTTAAAGTTTGTTTGTTTTTGAAGTTGAGCACAAAGCTACACAATGGGCAATCTGTGCTCTGTCCACCACGGGTATCGAAACCCGGATTCTAGCGTTGTAAGTCCGCAGACATACCGCTGTGCCACTGAGGAGGGGACTAACGTTAAAACAAAATATTGAAACTGGTTAACGAGGAGGTTAATCTGAAACCTTATATCAAATCCTTTGATCACCTGCACAGCTTACATTTCGGTTTCAAGCTTTCAGGAACATTTTAAAGAAAGGAACAAACCTGACTTGTGGATTGGTTGATTTTACGATATAAAATCCATTGTTTGTGTTGCTGTAGTTGTTTGTAAAACAGAAAACATCTACTTGTAGATACGGGTGTACTTCAGGAAAATTAAACAAACAGTCTTAACACTATCTGTACTACTACGTCAGTACAGACACCGTTGCTTGATTGAAAAAGGGTCAACAATTTATGTACTTTCCAGCCCAAGACTCTTGAATTTGTATCAAAAATAACTTGTATGCGTCCCATGCAGAGTTTTACCATTACTTGTGAGCAAATGAAACAAAAATAGGCTTACAATGTATTATTCAATACATATTTTTTTCATAAAAATATTCAAATGTTTTCAAGACATTGAAAATAAATATACCGATTCTTGCACGTACCTTGATACGAGATTAAACTAAAGTCTTGGATTTCTGCCGATGATGACACGCGATTGGACAGTCCAAGAGATTGCAGAGCAAGCAACGTCAGTAATAAAAGAAGTATGTTTCTGTACCCACACCTCAGAGGTGGGTAGAAGTCTGATAAAACTGCATCGCTAAGCATCGTCATTACATCTGTTTGTTTTCAGACTAGATAACTTTACTGAAGAAAACAATATGCGCTGGCTAAAAATCTGTCATTGTCTTTAGAATGTTTCTTTATCTCTCTCTCTGAAGCTGTGTTATCACAAATATCCGGATCACCAGTCATTTTCAGTAGAAAAACGTATACAGTTCCATTGTTGTCAACCAGGAACTTACCTGTAAGAAAACAATGACGATTTTTATTGGATTATTTCATTATCACTCGTAACAATGTTACGAAAACAAGAAATTTTGGAGAAAAAAAAACAACAACAAACAAGCAATACGTTACAGATGTCAACAATGAACCTCAAACTAAGAATATTAATTACAATAGATTATGATTAACAATATGCTTTAAAGAATAACCACAATTGTAGCACACCAACCGATAGCACTATTAAACCACACATCACTGGTTGTCTTACAGAAACAAGAACGTAAAATATTTTAAAACGCCATCTGAAAGTTGTTTCCTACAGCAACCAAACCATAATAAGCCCACCAATGTTGTTCCTTGAATATTATTATACTATAACAAAAATTTACTGAGGGAATAAAAATCGTACAAAGGCTTTCTTGTAACACCTAAATTTATTGTTGTATAGAACAGTCACTGTATTGTTAGGGAAGAGGTAGGCCTAAACACTTATTAACAGGTAATATGCACGTTGAGGTTAAGCACGTTTCTCTTATTCTTATGAAAGAGCCGAAAGACCCTATTTCGTTACAAGAAAAAGCTGAGGGACGCTACAGAACAAAACAATATCCCTCTATACCTATCACATTTCGTATGTGTAATTTTAAACAGTTGCAAATTTGTGGCTAATCTACGAACGAACAAGTTAAAATTATGAATCTCTGTTCTTTCGGTTCTATCTTCTGCGTACGATAATAGATGCGAACAGCTTTCCTTGTAACACACACACACACACAAAGAACTCCATAAAAAAACTTTATATGAGTGACTTAAGGTCATAGTATACGTTGTGACCCATATCTTTAATTACAGTTAACAAAGACGGCAATAAGCAGCCAGCTTAAGAACTGAATACAAGGCCATTTTTTTTCTTATCAAAACTCTTTGTTTTTGAGGTCAATAGTCCCTTACACAACCAAATCACAACTACGATACAGTAATTATTCTAATAAATCCTAAGAAGTAAAATATTACTTAACACTGCAAGGCTGGGAGCTGGTAACAAACTCCACAAAGGAAAACTAATATTACAAGGCGCACCACAGAAATAACTCTAATTTCACCGTGTATTTCGGATTTGTTAAGCGTTTAATTGTAGGCACTGGATTTAGTAGATATTTTTGTAATATAACTCAATTTATAAATGTTGTTTTCTCTGCATAAACTCCTTAACAAACAACGTGAGAAAAAATAAACCTCTTAGAATCATCACAAATAAATATCAATTTAGTATAAAACAACTCCCTCTAGCAAGTAAAAGAAATAAAATATACTAAATTTATATATATTAGTTTGTTTGTTTTTTTCTTATCTCACGGTCACAATAAAATTTTGAGTATAGTTTTTTTTTTGGTAATGATGATTCGTAATGAAGTTTAAAAGATAGCGTTTTTAACTTGTGTTTTGAAAACTTAACAAAAGCTATGACGTCTTAAATACTTCCGGTTCTAAGTAACTTTAACTGTATCAGAAAATTACTGTTGTAAGAGATATATTTTCAATGTTTGAATTCAGATGTTAGCTAGAGAGCGAATGACGTTAAGATGGAGACATTTCGACAAATATCTAGATAAAGATGGAGACATCAGTTATAAATACGAGTAAGTAGTTAGTTCAGTGGTTGAAAGTATTCAGTGTGCGCAAGATCGAATAGTCTTTAATGGTTTGTTTGTCTTTGTTAGCTTTTTTGAAGCTACACAATGTACTATGTGCTCTGCCCACTGCGGGTATCAAAACCCGGTTTCTAGCGTTGTAAGTCCGCAGACATAGCGCTGTGCCACTGGAGAGCATCTTTAATGGAGAGAAGATTTATCGAGTAAAGTTATTCAATAAGAGTTAGTGATTCTCTTAAGTAAATCAGTAAGTTAGTCAGGTTTGTTATCAACTTCGAAAATTTCTGTTAAACGTTATAAGCGTACTAAACCAGCCTACATTAGTTTCAGAGTTTATGTTGAAAACCTTGTTTGTGAACTTAGGCCTACAATTTGCGTCAAAGTGAAAGTAGCCTTTAGAAAACGTTAATGTTATGTGGACCGGACTTCATATTATTTTTACCAAATAATCCAAACGAACCCGCCCAACGACAGAAAACATCACAAAATCAGTAGTTCAGACAAATTATTTCAATCTGAGGATCACGGGTCCGAATCCCGTCATTGAACATGCTTGCCCTTCCAGCCATGTGGACGTTATAATGTAACGGTCAATCCCACTATTTCATTAGAGTAGCCCAAGAGTTGGAGGTGGGTGGTGTTGACTAGCTGTCTTCCCTCTAGTCTTACACTGCTAAGTTAGGGACTGCTAGCGCAGATAGCCCTCTAGTAGCTTTGCACGATATTCAACAAACAACTTAATTATTCTATTAAAATAAGGAAGAGGTCTTAGATGAACCTGACCATCCCAGATCCCGATCCGGACAAGCGTTTTCCTAGAATACAGCTACCATGAAATTATTTGTTTTTGTGCAAGCCTGTCGTGGATTCAGTTGTCCCCCTGCAAGCCTGTCGTGGATTCAGTTGTCCCCCTGCAGGCCTGTCGTGGATTCAGTTGTCCTCCTGTAATAAGCCTTTTTAGTTGTTCCCTACAACATATTTTTCATAAGCCTTAATTGCTTCCTGTAATACAGATGTTATAAAATTAGATGTCCCCCTGCAGGCCTCTTGTGGATTCAGTTGTCCCCCTGCAGGCCTGTCGTGAATTCAGTTGTCCTCCTATAATAAGTCTATTTAGTTGTTCCCTGCAACATATTTTTCATAAGCCTTAATTGCTTCCTGTAATACAGATGTTATACAATTAGATGTCCCCCTGCAGGCCTCTTGTGGATTCAGTTGTCCCCCTGCAGGCCTGTCGTGGATTCAGTTGTCCTCCTATAATAAGTCTATTTAGTTGTTCCCTGCAACATATTTTTCATAAGCCTTAATTGCCTCCTGTAATACAGATGTTATACAATTAGATGTCCCCCTGCAGGCCTCTTGTGGATTCAGTTGTCCCCCTGCAGGCCTGTCGTGGATTCAGTTGTCCTCCTATAATAAGCCTATTTAGTTGTTCC